CGCCAGACAAAACAATAAGCGTGAGAACGCACCTCAACATACACAGCAGAGATCAGTCCCTGGAAATCCCTCAGGGACAACTGATTCTATAATACAAAACGTAATAGGGACTGGCGCCTGGTAAACCCTCGGACACAACCAATTCTATATAAAAAAAATTGATTACAGAACTATCACACAGAATCACAGAGAGTGGCTCCTGTAAACTCAACAGAAACAATCAGCTTTTAGCCCAGCACCTCACTCATGCTGCCTAACCTGACTTCTGCATTTCAAACAGACCAACCCACTGTTATTACTTCTCTGCCTCGTTAACAGAACTGAAAACATATTACCCACTACCGCTCTTTCACTTTTAATGGTCACTTTCTTACCGGAGGTAAATTCCCTCATCCCTGTACATACACATAGATACAATAGAATTGATATTGATTCCAGTGAGAAGTGCGCTGACCCTCTACACAACTTCAACTATTTCAATGTTACATCTTTCTTTTATATGTTTCTAACTCCACCTCCCCATTGAAACAGGGATAGAAACCTATAAGATCATCAAAGGGCATGATAGAGTAGATAGTGGGAGATTGTTTCCCCTGGTTGGAGAAACTAAAACCAGGGGTCACAACCTTAAAATCAGAGGCAGCCCTTTCGCACTGAGTTAAGGAAGAACTTCTTCACTCAAAGGGTGGTGAATGTATGGAACTCACTACCCCAAAAGGCTGTTGACGCTCAGTCCTTGAACATATTCAAGACTGAGATAGATAGATTTCTTATTACGAAAGGGATTAAGGGATATGGGGATAAGGCAGGGTCAGGTAATTAGCTGGAGTTAGATTAGAAGATCAGCCATGATTGAATGGAGTGGCAGGCTCGAAGGGCGGAATGGCCTACTCCTGCTCCTACACGTTATGTTATGTTATGTTATTATGTTATGTTATGAGAGAGAAATGGACAACTTCTGGGCAGCCTTCCACGGCCTGCTTGTTTCTCAGCTTTGAGATAGGCAGGTGTCTGAGGCTGCGGCCTTTTCTTTCTGTGGTCCATTGTTCTTACATCAATGCTCTAGGACCCGATTGCTCATTATCTCATCTTCCCAGGAAAATATGTAATGCAATCAAAAGCTAACCTCAACCCGTCCAGCAAAGCTATTTTTAACCTCCAATTCTTCTGGAACATTTGGTTGCTTCTATCAATATACCAATGTATCCTGAGGTGATAGTCAGTATATTTCACAGGGTCTAGGAAATCCAAAAGAGGATGATAAGATTGTGGAACTCGCTTCTGACGAAGAGTTGTAGACCTGAAACGTTGACTCGCTTCCCTTTCTCCATAGATGCTGCCTGACCTACTGAGTGTTCCCAGCGACTTCTGTTTTTGTTTCAGATTTACAGCATCTACAGTATTTTGTGTTTTGTGCACAATGACATGGTTGAATCAGACAAGTTAGATGCATTCAAAAGGCAGCTGGAGCTCCACATGAGGGAGGGCATGGGAGGGAGTAAGGAGTGGGTGGGTGGAAACTCGTGTTGAGAACCAGAACAGACTGGTAATCCAAGTGGCATATTTCCATGCTGTACATTCTTTGTGAAATCTTTATAAATCTATCAATCTCCTACATAATTTGAGAACATTTCCCTCGATTTCCCACACAGCAACAACAACAAAATTTCATTTGTAAAGCGCTTTCATGTCGGGAGGACGTCCCAAGGTACTGAACAGTCAGGGATCAGGACCCGATCGTGGGGGGCAGGGTTTGGATGAGGGAAGGCAGTGGGGGTAGGAGGGCGGCTGAAGTCACGGTCAAAAATGAGGGTCTTGAGTCGTGCCTTGAAGGAGGCAAGAGAGGGAGCAAGGCGAAGGGATTGTGGGATGGAGTTCCATAGAGTGGAGGCAGAGAGGCTGAAAGCCCGGCTGCCGATGGTAGGGTGGTTTGGGCGGGAGACCTGGAGCAGGCCAGAGTCTGCTGAGCAAAGGGAGCGGACAGGTTGATAGGAGGTCACCAGGCCTGAAGTGTAGGAGGGGGCAAGGCCGTGGAGGGCCTTGAAAGTGAAGACGAGGATTTTGAATTCTATCCTCTGAGGGATGGGGAGTCAGTGGAGTTGGGCGACTGTGGGGATCACGGAGCCTGGTGCGGGAGAGGACATGAGCTGCAGAGTTCTGGATGATCTGCAGCTTGTGGAGGGAAGAGTTGGGGAGGCCGACAAGGAGGAAGTTTCCGTAGTTGAGCCTTGAGGTGACGATTGCGTGCATGAGAGTTTCAGCGGCCTGAGGGATGAAGCAGTAGTGGAGACAGGCAATGTTGCGGAGGTGGGGGAAGGGGCAGAGTGGGTCATGGCAAGGATATGGGGGAGAAAGGATTGTTGAGGGTCAAACAAGACAGCCAGGTTCCTAACTGGCTTGGTGAGGTGGTGTGTGTAACTGTGGATGTTGATGCTGCCAGTGCCTGAGATGCTGAGGCGCTGGCCAAGCCAATCAGGAGGGCCTCGGTCTTGCTGACAATCAGCTGTAAAAAGTTGGCTCTCATCCAGGACCTGATATCAGACAGAATGTCTGTCAGGACGTCAGTTATCCTGGAATCGAGGGTGGAGGCAAAGAGATAGAGTTGGGCATCATCCGCCTACATGTGGAAGTTGACCCCATGTCTGCAGATGATGTCACTAAAGGGGAGCATGTAGAGATTGAAGAAGAGGGGACCGAGGACAGAGCCCTGATGAACACCACACAAGACTTTGCGGGGGCTGGAGGAGAAATCGTTGGCGGAGACAAATTGTATACGGTGTGAAAGATAAGACCTGACCCATTCAAGTACAGAACCTTGAAGGTTGAGGTAAGAGAAGAAGCGGTGGAGGAGGATGGAATGGTCCATAGTATTGAAGGCAGCAGAGAGGTTGAGAAGGACGAGGAGGCAGAGAAAGCCCTGGTCACAGATGGACAAAATATCATTTGGCATCTTCACCAGAGTATTTTCCATGCTGTGAGCAGCACGGAAACCCGATTGGAAGGGCTCGTGAAGGGAGAGATAGGAGAGGAATAAGTGAAGCCGGGAAGCAACAACTCTTACAGAGACGCTCGAAAGAAAAGGGAGGTTGGAGATGGGCAGGTTCAAAGTGCTTCACAAATAATTGCTGTTAAATGTAGTGTCTGTTTATTTGTAGACAAAGCATGACAGCAAAGCACAGTCTCACACAAGGTGAATCACCAATTTATCTGTCAACAGTCCACTTGATGTACTTTGTATTATCTCTAGATTTCTCAAACAAAAGGTTTAGCCAGGACACTGAGAGAAAATATCTTCTCTTTTTAAAATAATATTATCTTTAACATTAACCTGAGGATAGTCAGACAGGACGTTGTTTTAATGCCCAATGTAAAAGGCAGCATGCCGGACAATCCAACAGTGGAGAGTCAGTCCAAATCTTAACATTGGGCTTGAATCCACATTTTTAACCAAACCGAGTCACAACTACCAACTCTCCGCCCCCTTTGCTTAGTTGGCTCCAGCCTCCGGCACGAATCTTGTCCCATCTGCTGCACCACCAGCATCTGTACTTTTGGCCACAATTCCCAAAACTATGGCGCTCTCTTCCTCAATCCCTCCACCTTGATTCCTCCTTCCATGTCTTCAGATCACACCTGAAGATCTTCTTTGACCGTGCCTACAATCACCTCCCCCTTGCTTCTGTTTGGTGTCAAGCTCCGTCATTCTTAAGTGTTGTGCGGCATTACTCACCATGCAGGGCACTATATAAATGCAAGTTATTGTTGTTGTTGTGCATAAAAATAATTCTCCGAGCCTCGCTTGCTAACTATCTTAAATTGATGCCCTCCAGTTGATGACTCACCGACTGACCAGTGGAAATAATTTATTTCTAACATTATCAAAACCCCTCATAATTTTAAAGACATATATCATTTTAAAGGTACCCCTAAACCAGCGAAACTATGTTCTCCTCAACTTTATTCCAGCAAAAAAAGTCCCAGTTCTCTTCTCATAGGCCAAATCACTAATCCTGATATCAACCCAATAAATCTTTGCACCCTCTCTATCACCTTAACATCTTTGCTAAAGTGGAGTGACCAATATTGGGCACAATATTCTAACTGGGGTCTACTTAATGATTTATATAAGTTTAGCATCAACTCTTTGCTTTTATATTCTATACACCTATTTGTTTTTGTAAATCTAAGATTCTTAATACCTAAGCCTGTGCTGTAAAATCTATGATTCTTTGATTTTTGCTATATCTTGTTTATAGGCTCGTTGTAAATCTCCCTGACTTTTCCAGACCGTAAAAGGCTTTCCTTTGTAAACTTAGGTGTAACTTTCCATTCCCACACAAATCAATCCAACAAGAAGAAATTGCACCTATGTAAGCGAAGTGCTCTCTGACACCTGTATTTACTTAAACCAGAGTAAGGGGCAGACTGCTTGCTGGTGATTGATTGGAAGTTTTGGAATAAAGCAAAGATCTTTGCAGTGTGTGGACTCTGTGTTTTGAAATGGACTAGTCAAATCCCTCCCTACCAGGAAGAACCGGGTTCTTGTTTATCATAAAATATGCCATAAGCTCTTTGTCACCAAATCTTTTGCTTGGGCACTTTGTGTGAATGAGGTTCCATTCTTTTCATCAACAAAAAAGTTATTTTTTAAAAAAAATGTATGATCCAATCTGTTGTCCATCCAGCCAAACACCCAGGTTATTTGTGAGCAATCTTAGTAGTTTTTCAACTCTGAAGGTATGAGGTGTTACACTTTCATGACTTTTTTGTGTTAATCAGTATGATTGCATCTACTAATATAAGTTCATTTGTTTAATTTAAAGTTCTAAATGAAAAATAAAGCTGACAGAAATGTTTAAAACTGAATAAATGCAAGATTTAGTAATGTGAACATTGTTATATTTGATTCAATCAGACATTTTTAGGGTTATGTCCCTGCAGAAATCTGCCATAAACATTTGAATTGCAGTAACATTTATAATATTTTATCTTCTTTCTAGGAATGGCAGAATTCTATTCAGAAGAATGCAGGACTTGCATTTATTGAACTCATCAATGAAGGAAGGTAACTGATTTTTAGGGTTCTTCAGCTATTGGATTTAATATAAAATAATTAATACTGACTGTGCTTGCAGTTGTCTTTCCCCTCTTCCTGGCTCGCTGTCGGGGACCACCCCTTTTGGGCATTCTGAAGCACTACTCTGGATATAGGATGCTCTATAAATGCAAATGGTCGTGGTTGCATTTTGCTTGGGGCTTAGTAGATGGATGTTGTGCAAAAAAAATATTCCTTAACATCTGCCACTGGATATTGTCTTGAGTTTGCGTGTACCTGGATTCTATGAACCTTGACTGACTAGAATTGTTTCATTACAAATGAAGATTTTTTTTTATAAGTGTCACACAAGCATTTTTTCACTTAAAATTGTACTCTGAGAATTCCACAAAATGCTGGAAAAGAAACTTGCAATACATAATGAGGTTTTGCTGGATTATTTTTTCATATTGTTTGTGAACAACTGATGAGACAGCAGGGAAGTTTAATGTTAAGGATAAAGGGGAGTTTAGCCTGTATGCCCATCTGCTGCTCCATCTGTTAAGAACTATGTGTTGTACATCTTACAGTGGAGACTTTATTCTCAGCACATTAGATCAGAAACATTTGAGTACTGGGGGCTGTCCAGGGTACTGAAATCAATGGCTAATGGTCTTAAACCACTATGAGTTGGTTAAAAAATAATTTATCATAAGGTACCAAGTGTGATACGTGCTAAAATGTTTGAAGTTGCTGATTCATTTAAGTATTTTTGCTTAGAATATGTTCATTCAACTTTGAGCTCCCATATATAAATGACATGAAAAATAATAGGAGAGAGTCAAATCCTTAAATAAAGGGAAATTAGTCATTTGATCCTAAATGTGCTTACGTGACGATAACTTTTTAAAAAGGTAACATAATGGTATAATACCCGGACAATAATATTGAAGGAACCTAATAAATTGCAATGTGTAAAGAATATATAACTTGTAAATGCATGTAGTTATCAGTTTTTACAAAAGGTATTGAGCAGTGCAAAAAGGAAAAAAAGCTGTCTGTTTTCTTTGTATTAATACCTCAAAATACATTTAACGTGATTGAAAATGTTTATGCTCTGTGCATATTTTCAATGTAACAGCTGCACTGCAGTGTTTTCAGATGGAATGGAAGGCAAATTATGTTTTTTTTAAATAATTTCAGTCGCCAGAAAACTATAGAAATGTTAGTCATTCATCATAGATGGAGAATGTAATTGTGCAGTTGTCAACAATTAACAAGACATAAACAGGTGATTAATGTGCTGTGGATAAAATGCCCTGTAGGATGGCCAGAAATTATAAATGGGATCATTTACAGGAATACAAATGCACATCCATAATTAAAACAAAATGTATTTAATGGTGTGTAAAATTACACATAATCTCGACACAGTAAGGACTGCTTTTTCTCTCCAAAATAGCATCGCAGTGAGATTAGTGAGGGGATGTTAAAATCAAAGGGACCCAGTAATGATGTATGTGAGTATTGGCAAATTACATTTCATTAAAACAAACAATTAGGATATTAAAACCCAGTTTATCAGCATAAGATATTTAACAGATTTTAGGATCTTCTGGGACTACTTGTGTCGTTTTAGCTATTTATTTTTGAAATATCCCTTGACAATGCCAGCACACCAATTATCTACCTGTGCACTTGAACAGAAAAATATTCTACCAATATATTAGTACTCTGTTGTGTAAAGCATGTTGAGAGGTCCTCCGGATGTGAAGGGTGCCATATAAATGTAAATTATTGTTGTTGCTTATGATACCAATGCATGCTTGTTTCAGTTAATGTGCTGATTTAAATAGCAACATGACAGACATGGTTATTATTTATGTTGAATTAAGACAGAGATATTTATCATACAATTTAAGCCTTTCAAAACTGTGTTAGCACCATCTAACAACCAGTTGAACTACTTTTATTTCTCTGATTTTCAACTAACTGCTGGACCTTGGTCCTTTACGTAGGTTCTCAATTTTATAGCAGTGCATTAACTTAATGGTTTAATAAAGTTATAATCCTTTGCCATTAGCAGAGAAGAATATGTATTACTTTTATTTGGTACCATCAACTGATGGTTTCTGATTTATGGTATAAAAGGATATACTTGATCTGTGCTATATAATATCTTGAGTATTCTGAATGTATGCAGGTGATTGAGCCTCAGACAGAATATCTGTCCATTAATCAACCAAAAAAAATGTCAAATACAATAGAGTAAAAAGGAAGACTTATGATATTCTGTTGCTGATTTTTAAGGTTGCTATGCCATGCCATGAAGGACCACATAGTTCGAGTGGCTAATGAAGCAGAGTTCATTCTGAACAGACAGAGAGCTGAAGATGTTCATAAACATGCAGAATTTGAGGTAAGTTGTTTCCCATCAGGCTTTTAAACTGATTTTCTACTGCAAGTCAGCAGGCACTAAAGCTACTAGAATTATTTTGACATTCATAGCAGATTTTTGTTTACCTTTAACTATTCATATCTTATTAAAAACTTTGGCAAAAGTAGTGAATTATTTGACGTTGCCATTCACTGGGGTGTCTAAAAGTTTTATGGTTTTGATGAAGCCCCCACTCTCCTGCCTGGTCTTAAACAAGTCAGATGAAACGTGTTGCGATTATTGCCTAGAAATAATCCTAATATTTCAAAGGAATGGCAGTGTTTATTATTCTTTATTAGTCACATACCTCAGGGTTTGATGAATTGTTTAGCATTCTGTATACGCAGTGATAGCCAAAAGCAGTTACAATACCAATATCTTTGGTGCTTATTAGTGTCTATCAGCTCACAAAAGGTTGACATTTTAGGAGCAAATATTGAATTATTCTTAATTATGTAAAGGAGTGCAGGAGTGATTTGCCCATTGTGTGTATTGCTCTTTTAAATCAAAAGTCAAGACAAATTTTGTGAATGACTGGTGATGCTGTAGCTTCTTTGCCGGATAACTGCAGATGGTTATTTGCGTGGCATTAGATTATATGCTAAATTTATTTCAAATTGTGGGTCTGGCGTGGCCGACTGTCAGTTTAATGAAACACTTATACCTTTTCTTTGCCTAATCAAAAACTAATTTTGACAAAAGCTAATAATACCCAATGTATTGAATGATTCATACTTGCATGTAAACACTATCCCCAGGCATTATATAATAAAGAAAATGAAAATCTTGCTATATCTTCACAATAACTTATGCTAACTCAAAATGAAGAAGGACGAGAGGCAGGAGGATTGTGATTTTCCAGTTTTCCCACTGGACTCATTTTCAATTGTAAAAGGATATGTGCTTGGATATTAGCCCAGCTTCCACTGAAACAGCACTGCACCAATGTCCTATTTGCCTGGCCATATGTGGAGCTTTAATGTGTTCATGCATGATTTGTTGGTATGGATAATAATGGGAGGTACTTTTTCTTGCTATGCACCTAGCAGCTTGACACAGTCAATTTACTGCACCGTTTTTTTTCTTCCTGTATTTTGAAAAGCAAAGAAATAAACCGCCTATGTTTATTCTTTCATGAAATCCTTCCCTTTGTTTGAAAAAACATTACCATATTCTACAGTATCAGATGTGAAAGGTGTTCTATAAATGTAATTTTGTTGTTGTCTTCCTGAAAGAAATGCAGATGCCCTACTCTCAGTGAAATACGTGCAAATAGGATAGACAAAACAATTATTTGTATTTGGATTTATATAGAAGAAGAATAGTCTTTAAGTAGCGATATAAACCACATTTATTATCCTAATAATTCTCTTCCGAGCAATGATTTTGAAAAGCTATTCAACTTTAGCCGAACTCGATCCTGGGGTCTCCCAGCATCCACACAAATTGTATGTACTTTGCAGCTCAGGTTCCTAGTTAGGAAATGGAATGCTTCTCTCGAGCCCAGAGGCGCTGAACACAATTGTACAAATGCCTGTAAACCCAACTGAGATCAACCAAGAAATAAAAATAAGAAGTACATTTATCAAATAGATAAGATAGAACGGGGGATCAAATTTAGAACAGATAGCAGGAACTGTTTGTTTACAAAAGCTAATCAACAGCTAGATCAGCTTAATAGGAAGAGTGAAGTCAGGACTCATTTAAGGAACAACTTGAAGCTGAATTAAAAAAGGCAGCAAGATTGGCATGTAGAAGGATGTGGTCCAGGGAGACTGTAGGATCTTTATCTAAAGCAGAGGTGGCCAACCTCTTTGGTTGACCAACAAAATAATCATACTAATAACAAAATAGCATATATTTATGCCATGAATCAAGAAATATTCCATCAAGAAGCATTTATTTTCTTGGTCAACCAAAGAGGTTGGCCACCACTGACCTAAAGCTATCTTGAGAAATTTGCTTGGGTGATTGTCTTAGTGGTTTTGTTTCACAGTAGTCATTGGCTTTTGTAACTGAGTCATCTGAGGCACATCTGTGTTAGCAAAGACTTGATAATGATTCACAGCATAATCAATAATTTGGTATACAAGCCTCTAGGTCCTGAGTTTATTACAACCTCAACTAAAAATATCCAATGATTTTAATGCATAAATCTTGTTGCATGTTTCACACTAGTTATGAATATCACCCAAAAATGTAGTGCCTCTGGATTGAGACACAGTAATTTGCCATGAGGCTTGTCTGAAGCTCTGAGACGCCAACCGGGGTGAAGGACGCTATATAAATGCGCGTTGTTGTTGTCTGGTGGAACCAAACTGGTAGTTTCGCCAGGACATCTATTTGCACTGTGAAAGCATAAGTGCAGGTGATATCAAATTATTCACCCTCAGCTCAGATATAATCCCTTGGAGTCCAATAAGCTCGCAAGAACTTTTGGGAGACAATTTTTAATGTTTTTAACAGCCATTTGGATGTCATTTGGATGTCATTATAAAATGAACCAGCATTTGAAGCTCTGCTCTTTCAGACAGGAAGTATAAATCAAACTTACTGATCCTGATTGCTTTACTCTTGGATGTGATAATACATTGCTTTAGCAGTATAAATTGGGCATGAGGTCCATTTGTGAAATGAATAAGGCTAATCTGTACCCATTTTCTGCTATTTTTGAATCCTTCAGAACACTGTTCATCAAAGACAGCTGAGCTTACTGATATCCTTTCTTGTCTCTTCTTATGTAATGATAATTACATGGAGTCCTGTAGCTCAGTGGTTAGAGCACTCGCTTTGCAAGCGAGAGACCTGAGTTCAATTCCAGACAGGGCGAAACCTTGGGCAAGTTTCCTTACTCCACATGCCTAATAATAATCCCTTCAAAAACCAAAACAATAATAAATTGGTCATTTTCAATCTACGACTGTTTGTGGGACATTGCTGTGCGCAATTGGCTGCCGCGTTCGCCCACAAATATACAGTCAATTCACTTTACAGTGTGTTCTGTGAAGCGCTTTGGGACGTCCTCCCGACGTGAAAAGCGCTATATCAAATGCAAGGATTATTATTATTATTATTATGTATATCCGTTTCTATGCTGAGTTAATATTTGGAGCATGAAGAATTGTAAATTTGAAGTATATTTTCTTCTAATTTTTTTTAAAATTCTACTGCAGTGATAAAGATCAAATGGTTATTGGTTGGACAAGTTATCTACTTTCTTGTGGTTTTTGGTACTTAAGCACCTTTATAAAAACTGAAGTCTGATCCCACCCTCCACTTCTTACTCAGCTCTCACAAGTGAAATGGGTTTGGGTGTCTCCACTGGATTTTCTTTAGATACTGTTCCACTGCACAAAACTATGTAAGTTCAGCAATCTCATCTCTTAAGAGGCAGAGAGTTGAAGAAAGGAAATGTAGAGAAGGTTATGAAGAGGTTATGCTGAGTGGACTATGGTTACATGATTACAGCATTGTTGTGTTGTTTAGTGGAGCTACATAAACGAGACTGAGTTCCAGGAAGAGCACTAGAGCACAGTACTTAATAGGAGACATCTGCTGCATTGTTAATCCATATTCAGTTAAGAGCAAAGTAGTCTGTTAGTTGCTGGATCTTGCTTGCTAGAATGTATATGGGGCAGACTGTATAATTGCTCCCTTCAGTTAGATGATGCCACAATTTCAAAACAAAGCAATCGATAAACCTTTCACTGTAATTGTTCTGAACTGTAGGTGGGAATGCTGTTGTGTTGCTTGTGTAACTGGAAACATCACTCCATATCCATGAAATAGTTTATCAGCAATTTCACTTGAGCCTTTGAGTACTGAAGTAGCACTTGTGATCAAACGAATAACTAAACGGCAGCTTATTAATTTTGCATACTGGAGTTGGGCCAAGTCCCTGGATCATACTGGCAGAAACGTGACAAACGCCAATTGATGTTTCTCAGTATTGATGCGTGTCGGCATCAATTGACGTCAGGTGCTGTTGGTGTTCTCCCTGCTCCTGCATGTTATAAAGGGTGTTTGATATATGTTAGCATTGACTGATGTCAGAAGCAGTTGGTTCACATGCTCTTTCTTCCTCACAGTATAAAAGGTGCAAGCTCAAATTGATGCGGCAGTTTGTTTTACTCATTGAGAATCAAACTCTGCATTCCTGTTGGAGTTTGTTTGTGAAGGTCTTTCCTACAGCTATTTCTGTGCTTCATAGAGTGGTTCAGTAGGTGCAAAGCTAGCGTTTTCAAGTTTTAGAATTTTTTTTTTGGTCAGCTGCATGTCTAACACATGCAGAAACCCATCACCATGCTCAAGAGTATCCAAACCGATCTGAGAATTCCATGCATCTCACCTACACTTGGAAATCCCAGAGATAGATTGCTGGAATGGAATGCGCACTCTCTCTTTGGAGGAACGCATCCCGCTTAACTAATTCCATAAAGTATTAGCCTTTTTTTTTCAAATTTTATAATACATTTTGAGGTAACTTTTGAATTACTATTAATTCAGGTATTATTAATCTGAGGCACTACTCCACGTGAAAGGCGCTATATAAATGCAAGTTGTTGTTACTGTTGTTATTGGCTAGAATATTCCAGTTTTGCAAACTGATAGACTGGTTACAAAAATAAATATTTTCTGCAGCTTTCCAGTAGTTAGGAAATTAATTAGAAGTTATCTATTAAAACTATGAATGGTTTACAAAATATTTATGTATATGTAGATAAGATTTTCTGCCATGTGGTCCTGATAAGATCATAATAATGATGACAATATAAGGACAATAATAATAATAATAATCCTTGCATTTGATATAGAACCTTATCACATCTTTGAGACATCTCAAAGCACTTCACAGAATATACTATAAAGTGAATTGACTGTGTGTTTTGTGGGCAAAGCATCGCAATTAATTGTGCACAGCAGTGTCCCACAAACAGTCGTGGATTGAGTGACCAAATTACTGTTATTATTTATTTACTTGA